TGTGTGTAAGCACCCCAAGGTGTGCTTACCGGGAAGATTCTAGCCTACATCGATCCTGGGTCAGAGCTGCCTGGGAGAGCTGAGCATGGCGTCTCTGCTCCAGAGAGCAGAGCTGTCGGGTCTCTCTGGGAGCAGAGCAGAGTCTGACCTCACTTCCTCTTCCGCCCAGCATCCTATTCTGTTTACTCCTCCCACCTTTGCTTTAACCTATCAGGGCCAGCCAAGCAGTTTCTTTATTGCTCAATGACCTTCCTCCATCAGACCCGGCTGTCCTTGAACTCACAGAGATCCTTCTACCTCTGCCTCCTGAGTGCTGAGATTAAATACTTGCATTACCACCGCCCAGCTTGTGGCAGCTTTTACGATGATATTCTATTCTCTACTGGCATCTACATTTTTCTGTTTGGACTTTTATATGAAAAGCATCTCACAGACTGGTTTCCAGCTTCTCTTTGTGAGGTTTTACCTCTAATGTGCCTAGGCTTCCTTTCCCAAGAATAGCCCTCATCTTTCCACACTGTGTCATGCATAATAGGCAAGTCCTCTAAATGTGGCCCCATTGTTGTCTAATACTGACAAGTTAACTTTTATAATTTATTTGGGTCACTGAAGCTTAGCAATATATCAGTACTTCACCCCCACAGTGTGCTTCCCAGGCCTGCTAGACTCTCACTGGATGGGACTATAAATCTTGTTGCTAAGAAGTACACAGTATCTACTTATCTATTGTCTGTTGGAAACCTGTATTCCATAACTGTCTCATTGTGACTTTCACTTCAAAGGTTATTTTCAGCATATTCATTTTGGGGGAGGTTATGTGGAGGTCAGAGGACAGTCATGGTCTGGGGATGGAAGTGTCATCAGGCTTGGTGGTGAATGCCCTTAACCATGGAGCATCTCTCAGGCCACCAAAAAAAGCTTCTACTGAAATAATTACTCCAAGTTCTTTGTTTTTTAAGTTTTTTTTTTTTTGTTATTGTTTTCTGAGACAGGGTGTCTATGTATACCCTTGGCTGTCCTGGAACTCACTCTGTAGACCAAGTTGGCTTTGAACACATAAGACATGCACGTGCCTCTGTCTCCTGAGTGCTGGAATTAAAGGTATGTGTTGCCACTGCATGGCTTATATTAGTTTTTATAGATAATATGGTTTGATGTTCTTCATATGTGTGCTGACAATTTCCCAAAAATTGAGGTATTTAGTATTTAATATTTAAAGTAAATATTTTGTTCAGTTTCATCATTTCATTGCATTTTTTAAAATCTTTGTTGTAATAATTCTTTCTCCTCTTATACAATTTAAAAAAATAATTCAAATATTTTTAGTATTGTATTTTAACTGTTTTTTTTTTTCTTGGTTTTTCAAGGCAGGGTTTCTCTGTGTAACTGCCCTGGTTGTCCTGGAACTCACTCTGTAGACCAGGTTGGCCTTGAACTCACAGAGATCCGCCTCCCTCTGCCTGACTGAGTGCTGAAATTAAAAGTGTGCACACCAAGCCCAGCTCATTTTTATTGCTTCATTAACTATATTTATTTGAATTTAGTACTTTCTTCAAGATTTTAATATATAACTCAGTATTTTTAAATTTTTTGACTCATTTATTAATTTTGTGTGTATTATGTGGTACACATACGTACACACATGCATGACTGTGCACATCCATACTGGTCAGAAGAGGGCATCAGATTTCCTGGAACTGGAGTTACCAATGACTGTGGGCAACCATGTGGGTGCTGGGAACTGAACCTGTGTCCTTTGGAAGAACAGCAAGTGCTCTTAACCACTGAGTCATCTCTCCAGCCCTACACCTCATTCTTTCAGAGCTCAACTAGAACACTGTTCTTTTAATATAAGATGTAGTTAGTATCGTGAAAATACATAGATTTCTCTTCTTACTTCCTCCCATAAAGCATATTTTCTTGTGATTTTATAGCAGTTTTTAGTTGATGTTATTATTTGTTTTGGAGGGGTATTTGTTTTGTTTTGAGACAGGGTCTAAGTAGTACTGGATCCCAATATATAGAATGTGCCAGCCTCAGACCCCAGTGAGCCTCCTGCCTCTGTCTCTTCAGTTCTGGATTAGAGGTGTGCTGCATCACAGCCAGCTTTTTAAAGCAGTTTTATATATCAGCTTTATTACATATTTAATAATAACTACAGTGAAAACTCTGGAGCACTATGCACACATCTTTAAAGACCTTAGAAAGATAAAGTAGTCTTGTATGTTGGCCACATATTTACCATGTCTGCTGTCCTTCGTGTGCTCCTGAGGATCCAAGCCTTCCTTGTTAATATCCTCTCCTTTTCACATGAGGAACTTCCATTATCCTTTCCGGTAGCACAGGTCTGCTGAAGACAAACGTCTCTTAGTTTTCCATTTATAAAATTGTCTTAATTCTGTCATTACTCCTGAAGGCCACGGAAACCAGGGCTAACTTATCTACTGGGGCAGCGTTTGCTTTTTTTTTTTTTTTC